CCTTGTGGAGTTCTGCCTTAAAAAAAAAAAACGTTTTATCTCCATCTACAAAGATCTGTCTGAAGAAAGAGAGTGATTCAATTACTCGGGGTTGTATCTCGTGAAATCTGTCTCTCGTGAAATAGAAAACATTTCATATTGTTGTAGCAGGTTTCACACAATTCAAACAAAGAAATACAGTTTACATAATTGTTAATTTATTAGCAATAAATATGAATAAGGGAAATAACTTGATCAAAATGTTTTATGTTGAGTTCCGAATTCTAGCCAGTTTAACTTTTCAACACTTTATACAAAAGAAATAAAGTGATGATTAAGAATTTGCATTTAACAAATTGTTTAATATATATATGATTGAGAACTAATGATATGACGTTAACCATTCGTTAAACGTTTCTTCTATTGTTAACCTTTCCTTAAACGTTTCTTGTATTGTGTTACCGTTCCTTAAACGTTTCTTGTATTGTGTTACCGTTCCTTAAACGTTTCTTGTGTTGTTAACCTTCTCTTAACCGTTTATTGTGTTGATAACCTTCCCATAACTGTTTCTTGTGTTGATAACCTTTCCATAACTGTTTCTTCTATTGTTAACCTTTCCTTAAACGTTTCTTCTATTGTTAACCTTTCCTTAAACGTTTCTTCTATTGTTAACCTTTCCTTAAACGTTTCTTGTATTGTGTTACCGTTCCTTAAATGTTTCTTGTGTTGTTAACCTTCTCTTAACCGTTTATTGTGTTGATAACCTTCCCATAACTGTTTCTTGTGTTGTTAACCTTTCTATAACTGTTTCTTGTGTTGATAACCTTCCCATAACTGTTTCTTGTGTTGTTAACCTTTCTATAACTGTTTCTTGTGTTGTTAACCTTTCTATAACTGTTTATTGTATTGATAACCTTTCCATAATTGTTTCTTGTATTGTTAACCTCCTCACAACTGTTTCTTATGCTGTTAACTTTTCTATAACTGTTTCTTGTGTTGTTAACCTTTCTATAACTGTTTATTGTATTGATAACCTTCCCATAATTGTTTCTTTATTGTTAACTTCCTCACAACTGTTTCTTATGTTGATAACCTTCCCATAACTGTTTCTTGTATTGATAACCTTTCCCATAACTGTTTATTGTGTTGATAACCTTTCACATAACTATTTTTTATGTTGATAACCTTCCCATAACTGTTTCTTGTATTGATAACCTTTTCTGAAACGTTTTAGAAACAACGAAGCTGACCGATTCCCTGTTTACCCCTGAATAAGAAAGGTCCACTTTTCGAAAGCGCTCGGGTTATAGAATTTTTATCATTTTGTGATTAAAACAACTTTATGAAAAAACAAAGTGAAACCTTAGCTTTCTGAGAACACAATCATGGAACAATGTTTAAACTTCAATATTTGTTGTATCTTAATAAACCCCTTTATGTAGTTCCATAATTGATAACAGATGGCGACTGCTGTGTGATAAATCTTAGACTAGTTAAATAAAGCCTACGCTAGTAACTCACGCTACGTAACGTGCTATTGTTCCAGCATTATTGTTTGTCGTATAAACGTATCAGCTGATTTCATTATTAAACCAAATTCATCCCAGCCTCGTTAAAGGTAGTTGCTGAAAGTAACGTATTATTATTAGTAGTATTCTAAAAAGGAAGTTTGATTTTAAACACAGTTTATTTACTAAAGTGGATTTTTTTTTGTACCCGTATAACGTTGCGGTATTCCAAATTTTGGAGATAGCTAGAACACACTAGATGGTAGTGTTTGTTAGCTTCAAGAACCCGTCATTGGTCAGAAATTTAGATTTAAATAATAGTACAATGTTAAATGAATTATTTTGCTTTATACACCAGTGATAATTGTATTACATATTATGTGTATCGGCCATTATCATGGCGTGTCACAATAAATGAGTATTTCATTAACTAATTCGATTTGTGATTGCATTTTTCACGTGGTCAATAACCAGATAAATAAACATAATTTTTTGTGTATTGTAAAACGGTAAATACCAATATTACAAATTTCAGCGATGTTGTTGTTTGTTATTAAGCACAAAGGGCTATCTGTGCTCTGCCCACCACGGGTATCGAAACCCGGTTTCTAGCGGTATAAGTCCGCAGACATACCACTTTGCTACTGGGGGGGCAAATGTCAGCGAGAAAGAAACGAAAGGCCCAGCCTACACTTTCATTCGTCACTCGTTACTGAATTAGACTGGTTTCGAGGATTTACACCCATATCACCTACCCGAAACCGGTTTAATCTAGTAACAAATGACGAAGGATTTAAGAGATAACCGATTCTATTTTTGAACTACTGTCTAGAAAAGGCAGCCAGTCAGCATCACTCGCCGTCTCAAGGGTCTTGCCTTGTCTAAACTAAATAATGAAACTGAATGCGAATCTTATAGCAAAATAGTGAGAAAAAGTAAGTATATATATATATACAAATTACAAATTTTATAACCACTAATTATGAAAAATATTAAGCTTCTGAGGTACTTGGTTTATATGGGAAGTTCAGAGTTAAAATGTGTTCTTGGTAATATTTAACACGTGACTTTGACATGCGTGGTTAATATTTAACATGTGACTTTGACATGTGTGGTAAGAAAATGACAAAAATCACAAAATAAATAGGATGTTTACATAGGTGTGTGTGTTTAATGAGCCGGACTGAAAATTGCACATTTGAAAGCAAGTTCTTTAACAAAAACAATTTTATGTACCAAAACCAAAACCTAAACACCCACAATAAAATGCACTTATCTACTGTGATATCGTTTTTCACACATCATCTAACATCTCATGCTGTTATATTTACAGGGACAAAGATATCTTCAAGATCATTTTACAGAGTTGGAATAGACGAGGAAAAGTTATTTAGAAGAGTCGTGCACACACACACACACACACACAGATTAATGGAAGTACAGACGTTGCCCAGTGGTAAAACTGAAATCTCTGTTTTGTACATATTTGATATCTGTATTTCAATCCTCCAAATTTAAACGCACTGA